ATATAACTGGGTGACAATTTCTCCTATGATATCCACCCAGGAATTGGTGCATAGACTCTACCAATAATTCAACATGCCACCAGGTATGGCAAGAGTTGTAGTGAAATGAAGGGATTTCTGGTATGGCATTACTAGAGGGAGACTCAATGATCTTTTTAGGATGAGCTATATGGCTATTTTTTGTAAGCTAGAGGTCCAGGAGATTCGCTAGAAGCTATACTCAGATGTATAATATTCTGACACAGTGTTTGTCAACTCAGAGTATGATGCAAAAAAAACATTATATATAAATATATTAACAGAGATCACACAGCTCATAAGCATGTTCATTATTTATAAAATGTTTCCACAAAAGGGCTTTGGTCAGTGTGAAACTTTTTATTAATTTTATGTTTGGGTGCAAGTTTTACGTTCTGAACGGCACACAACGTCTACGGCTTCATTCACTCCTGCTATTCGAATCTGCATCCCAGAAGAGTACAACTGGGCTTATGTGGCAGTGACTGGAAGCTCTCCGGAGGTGTGGGCGGTGTAAAATGGATCTCCCCTCCGTGGTTCGCAACCTTGGTATTTAGTCACTGAAAGTCACCATTCTTTTGGCCTGGAAATTTTTGAGTAATGAAGGAAATCCTCGATCTTTAGGCTGATCCTTTTGCTAAATTGAAGAACGCTGGTCTAGCTATGCCCAAAATTGGGTGCAGAGATCATCAAAATGTTCATCATGGCAACCATTGTAAGTATTGTCAGCTTAGATAACGCGATTGTCGGCACGGTTGCGAGAAAGTACTCCTCAACAAGTTATGAGTTCTGCTCCAACGGGAATCGGGATAAATCTCATTAGTCCAAGGGAGGTGGAGAAACAAGTTTTCTTGTAATGCAGGAGCTTTATGTGAATGTGATATCCAAAATAACTTGAGGATCAGAGTGTTCCACGGGCAATATTAACAAGTATAAAGACTTAGATAATGTTAAGTCTCACATTTTATTGTTTAATAATAGCTTTCTTTGGAAAAGACCCATCCATTTTTAATCAGTCACTACCAAGTCAGGCCCACGTGAGTTTCGATTTTAAAGGGTTTCTTCAACCACCATGACCACTTCTGCTTTTAGAACTAGTCATGGTTGTAAGAATCCGCATGTGCAGCATTTTTGGGAGACACTGCACACACAGAGAAATATGCACTTTTGTGCGGGGGGCTAGTTTTACATCCGATAAGTCAATTCTGTGCAAAAATGAAGTCTGTTGTCAGCATAAACTGCACATTGGCAACAGATGTTATTAACTTCTACCCTTGCAGGCAGCCTTGAAAGCGTGCGTTTTCATCATTCATTTCAGCCCTCCACTCCTGCCTATAGTACTTGTTGAGAATGGTCCAATCAAATGCGTCTCTATGATAAGCATTTGACTGGACAACGGAGAGTGACATCAGAAGGGGCATGGAGTCCAGCGAGGGGAGATTGACGCAGCGCTGGATTCCAGTTATTTCTTCTTTTACAGGGATATTGTTTTTCTTTAATTGAGGGAGTGGACCAAGTAAATAATGCCCAATAGAGCATTATAAATTTAGATTTTAATAAAAAAAAAAGGTTTGCGACAAAATACATTTTCTGTGACCAAAACAGCAGGACTGGAAAAATTCCACTTCTCCATTTGGCTAACTTGGCCAAAAATATTAAATTCTCTTTGAATTCCCGACAAGTCACACTTTACAGGATTATTCACTTAGGTGAGAATGGTCGGAAATTCATCGTTAATTTTAAATTTAAGACCAAATAGTGAAAGTGAAAACAAATTCTCCAAATCAGTTATGGTTCCAGTTCAGTTCTTTGGCCTTAAAAGGTTACTCCAAACACCATGACCACTTCATTACATTAAAGTGGTCATGGTGCCTGGAGTTTGTATGAGCAGTGTTTTTCTTTGAAACATTGCACATACAGGGATTAACCCCTTAAATACTGAATGTGTAACTCCACCTATGGTGGTATCATTAGCCAGCCCAGAAAAAAAGTTCTGGGCTGGCTAATGTCAATGTTGTGCAAAACAGGCATCAGATGCCATTGTGGCATGCGACACCCTACCTCCGTGATGCCATTACTCCCACCAGCCTGTCCTCCATGACCTCCTTCTCAAACTGGTGAAGGGGAGTGACATCAACCAAAGTGAATCAGGCTTCACTTGACCTCGATACTAGAACAGAAGTAACTTTTGCATTTATTTTATTTATTTATAAAGTTTGGGAGGGGCAGACCACCTCAGAAAGTGTTACGCTAACCAAAATCAGGGTTTTAAGAAAACAAACAAAAAAATAAAAATGCTTTTTTGGTTGGAGTAACCCTTCCAGTTTAAAATTCACTTTACTCAACGTGCCTTGTTCTCTGTCTCACAACACAAACAAAGCTATTCACTTAAGTGTGTAATGTTTGGAATCAAAAGTAAATTTAACATTTTAGGTCAAAATAACTCAGCTGAGAACACAGCAGGCTTGAAGGATTTTCCCAAGTTAGACATTTTAGCCTACAATTTGAAATTCAGTTGAACTTCCAACCAATTTACACTTTATTGAATAGCCTTTTGAGGAGAGAGGAAGTTCGGAGAACTGCACAGTGATTGCTGTAACTGGCTGTACCCAATGATCATGTGTGTGTACATGGCAACTTGCCATTGCTTAGTTGTGTGACACTGAAGCACCATGAAACATAGTTCAATGCAATCCTGCCATGTTCAGCTTTGCGGTGTGATAATTTTGCTTCACGATGGAATTATTCTGTCATGGAAAATTTTGGCCCAAGTCAGTGTTGACAGAAACATTCTGCTATTCCTGAGTGGAAGGGGTTTACTGGGTCCCTAGCATTATTGGCTATGCTGTTGTCAACACCAGGAGTTACCTCATTGGCTTTTTAGTTTGTGAAGTATGTGTGTTATCGTTTCAACCATACTCTGGTATCCCTGATGCACAAAAGCAGTAAATAATTGATTTTGTTTATGCCCACCAACTTTTTTATGGTAAAACAAAATATTGCTTGACAGAGGAAATTATTCTGAATGCTTAAATGAAAAACTAAAGTGCTAGGAATACAAAGTGGCATTCCTAGCACGATAGTACCCTCTGCCCCATCCGGCCCGGTCTGAAAAGGATAAAAAAATCCCTTTATCACTTACCTGACTCCAACGCCAATTTCCCTCTGTGCTTTGTCTCCGCTGACGTCAGCTGGCGAGGGAACCTAATGCACATCTACGGCAATCGCCGCAATTGCATTAGGACTTCCCCTCAGGAAAGCATTGAATCAAAGCGTAAGGACGTCCAGCGTCAGTTAGCAGACCAAAATTCTGCTAAGGACCCAAAAACGCCTCTAGTGGCTGTCTGGTAGGCAGCCACTAGAAGTGGAGTTAACTCTACAAGGTAATTATATCAGTTTCACAATAACTGCAAAAATTACAATTGCAGGATTAAAGGCACAGGGGGCATTGCACCCAGACCACTTTAACCCTTTAAGGAACAAACTTCTGGAATAAAAGGGAATCATGACATGTCACACATGTCATGTGTCCTTAAGGGGTTAATGAGATGAAGTGGTCTTGGTGCCTATAGTGTCCCGTTAACTATATTTACAGACAGAACACAATAATATATGTTAAAACTCCATGCCCCACACCTCCATCCTTTGATGGGGCCCCTACAAGTCACGAAAGGGCCAAGTTGACTGATAAAAGGGACACTCTGGACAACTAAAGCACTTCAGCTTGCTGAAGAATATGTCCTTTTTTTTGACAAAAATGTCAGGTTTGAATAGAATTTTGCACTTTTATAAACTACTCGTTACGCCCCCTGGTTGTCAGTCAGATATTCAGCCCTGTTACTTCCTGGTTTGTTTAGCTCAGTGGAGCTAAGCTCAAGAGGCAGCTTTTGCTTTGCACTTCTCATTGAGCTGCATCAGGAAATCTGTGATTGGACAGTCACAGAAAGTCTGGGAGCGGTTGGAAGGGGAGGGCTTGCAAAGGCTGCAGAGAAGAGATATGCAATTTTTGCAAGCTGTTATGTATACATCCAATGAATAATTTAATAATTAAATGTGTGCATATTTTCATAGGGTGTATCAACTAAACAGTGATTTTTTTTGTGTACTTTGGGCAGTGAGCATCCCTTTAAAGGATCACTAGTGTCAGGAAAACAAACCCGTTTTCCTGACACTATAGTGCCCTAAGGATGCCCCCGCCCTCAGTGCTGAAGGGGCTAAAACCCCTTTAGCAGCTTACCATAACCCAGCGCCGGGCTCCCTCGGCACTTGTGACCTCTCCTCCCCCGCCGACATCAACCGGCAAGTGCTGCGTGCGCATTCAAACAGTCCATAGGGAAGCATTTCTCAATGCTTTCCTATGGACGTTCTGCACTCTGGAATGCGAAATTTGCATCCAGCAGCGTAGATGCGCCTCTAGTAGCTGTCAGGAAGACAGCCACTAGAGGTTGGATTTACCCTGCTATGTAAACATGATGATGATGATTACATCTGAAGGGTTAAAACCTGAGGGACCTGGCACCCAGACCACTTCATTGAGCTGAAGTGGGCTAGGTGACCATAGTGTCCCTTTAAGGTAGTGTCACTTCTACAGATACAACTCCACCCCCCTCACTGCCTTGCAGCATCAAGTGAAATACTTTACATATACCAGGGGTGCCATGGAGGACCATCACTACTTCACAGCCTGTGCCAAAGTTCATATACTGCGTGTGCTCAGTACGGCACTCTGCAGATTTAAAGGGGCACTCCAGGCACCAAAACAACTTCATCTAAATAAAGTTGTTAGGGTGCAAGGAGGCTCACGGGCACACTCCTATCAAAAGCGGTTTAGCTGTTCTCGAACTGTTTAACCCCTTGAGGTAGAAGTGTGCCCGAGGACCTCCTGACACCATAACAACTTTATTTAGATAAAGTTGTTATGATGCGTAAACTGCCCCTTTAACTAAAGGCAGATATGATTAAAAGTGGCTTGCTAACCTACAATGAAGACATACTGTCCCTTTAACACCATGTACACTCAATGGGCCAACTTTCTGCTAGTGAGAGGAGACAGCCAAACACAGCCAACCACGAGCCAATCAAGAGACAACCACAACCAACCACCGGCCAAACACAGCCAACCAAGAGACAACCACCAGCCAAACACAGCCAACCAAGAGCCAACCACGGCCAACCAAGAGCCAACCAAGAGACAACCACGGCCAACCAGCAGCCAAACAGCCAACCACAGCCAACCAAGAGACAACCACCAGCCAAACAACAACCAACCAACAGCCAAACACAGCCAACCAGCAGCCAAACACAGCCAACCAGCAACCAAACAACCAACCAGCAACCAACCACCAGCCAAACAACAACCAACCACCAGCCAAACAACAACCAACCACCAGCCAAACACAGCCAACCAACAACCAACCAACAGCCAAACAACCAACCACCAGCCAACCAACAGACTACCACAGCCAACCAGCAACCAAACAGCAGCCAACCAATGTCATTCATCCCCAGGCATCCTCTCAAACACCAACAACTCCTCTGGGCTACAAAACTCCACAGCGAACTAGGCCCGCCCACTCTGATTGGAAAGCGTGCCTGTCACTCCGCCCCGCCTAGCTCTCCGATTGGCTCCGGCTAAGAGGCGGTTACTTGACGCTGGCATGGCGACTCGTAAACCCGTATCCCTCCGCCCGCGCTCGTGAAGAGTCTAGTGTCCCCTTCCGCCGAAGGAGAACGAGAGAGAGAGAGCGAGCGAGGGAAAGTAGTGCTTGGCTCCCGCCCTCCTCTTTCTTGGGGGGGAAAGCAGCGAGCGTCTGAGGGAAGGGGGTAAGTAGTAATGGCGGGCCGAGCTGGTGGTGGTGAGGAGGAGGAGAGACAGAGGGGGTTATAGAGTTACCCAGTGGGCGGGCTGTGGGTGTCAGGGGGGGTTAATGTGGAGAGTGGCTGATGACGTCTGGGAGCATAGAGAGTGATTAGAAAAAAAAAAAGAAGAAAAAAATGGAGGAGGAGGTTTAAGGGAGCAGAGTGTGGAGACAGAGGGACATGTGAGGGGATTGGGGCAGAGCTGGCTAGGTAGGTAGGGGGGTAATGGGAGTAATGGTGGGGGGTCCTAGTGGGGGCTTTCTGTGATGTTCAGTCTGAGGGGCTGGAGATACAAGGAGGAGGAGGGGGGGCACACAGGGGGCGGGGGAGCTGTGTATAGAGAGAGGAGGGGGGAGGTGTGGATTTCCTAGTCTCCCCTCCCCCCACCCCTAGCTCTCTCGTTACATTGTAGCATTGAAACAAGTTACAGTTGCTGATTCTCAGACACCAAGGCTTTAGGCATCGTACCCCCTTAAAATTATCTGCAAGTCAGGTGGGGGGCTCAGGAGGTACCCCCCCCCCCATCTCCCCTAAAAAAAAGACACAACAACAACAACAACAACTCCTGCTCTCCCCCCCTTTTTGTTTTATATTTCCTTACAGGCTCCCCTGGCTTCATCTGGGAGGTTAACTATTTATTTCCAGCTCCATGCAATCCTTCTGGATGTTGACTTGCTAAAGAGGTAAATATATTATTTTACATACAAAACAACTCCTTTTATCTCTTATTGTATATTACTTGACTGTTGCAAGCATGCTGCTTTGTTTAACATCAGAACCTGACTACATGTGTATTATCATATATATAATTACACAAGACAATTATTATTAGTAGTAGTAGTACTACAGCAATCACTATGATTCCTAATTGACCTATTCTTTCCAATTTAGTGAATACATATTTTTTTTGTTGTTTTTGTTTTAAAAAATATATATAGCTGTAGGCTTTTCAGCATAGTGGATTTAACAACTAAAACCAGGACCTCTTATTTTAATAAGCCTATGGAACTGTGTTCTAAAGATGCTGCCTCATTTGTATCTAATATAAATGTTTTTTGCTTTTAGAATTTTGAGTGTCATTATTGGTTTTGTGAAGGCAGTAACTTCTCTTTTGTTGACAAAGAATGTTAGGAGGGCAGCATTGTTGCTAAAGTTTTTTTTTTTTTGGTTTTATAATTTTTTTTTTACATTTGTATATATTCAAGTTTAATTTCACATGTTAATAAAGCCTTCATAGTTGCTTTTTATATATAGTTTTTTCTAAATTTTTGGTCCTTTTGTACAAATAGTCCACCTCCCCCTTCGAAGAAGTAAGTTCAGAATTTTTTTTTTTTTTCTAAGCCCACTGCTTTGTCTTTTCCCCTGCAAGACTTTTTCAACACTTTAAATTCAATAAAAGTAAAAGTCACAGAATATATTTAAAAATTATTTAAACCCCTGAAGTTAAACTGCTGCATTGCTAACTTTAGAATTTACTGTTATTTATTATATGTAACTGTTTATTTTCCTAGGCCTCAATATAACTGGAGGTTAAAAAAAAAAAAAAAAGACGACAAAAAAGTCTATGTATATTTGTATATGTAATATTGTATTTTTTAAAAAAAAATTTGTACAACCATATAATTTTTATGTGCTAAGTCTATATAACTGTGAAAAACACTGGAGTTTTTCAAGGAGTGTGTCCTGTAGATAACATTTTTAGATATGTGGATATATAATCCCACATTCATTGCTATTCACATTTTATATACACAGTCTTACAATGCACAATATTTTCTCTTTGGCGTGGGTTGTGCTGGACGGGGACGCATGGCAGGGGTGTAATGGTGGATGAGAACCTTTTGTCCATAAGGAATTGGTTCTTCCTGAGTGAGTTTGGCAGGCTCGGTTTGTTGAAGGAGGGAGGGGAGGGAAAAGAGGGAGGTGGTGGTGGGGAGAGAGGAGGGGGTAGAACCTTTCTATGAGCTACAGAAACATCTGCTATGTGTTAACTGGGTAGAAAGAGAGACTCAAGCATTCAGTAGAGAGGAAAAAGGCAAACTTCTGTGAATGATTTAAAATCTTAAAAAGAAAATAATCTTCAAAGAGTTTGCACTGGCTGTATAACTTAACTCTTTGAGGTCTTGGACTTCTTATACTATTAAGGAGTTAATATTACTGTAACAGCTTTGTTAATAGAACATTTTACCCATGGTGATTTTAGCAAGTAAAGGACTTGTTTAGCATTCCGTATTCCTTGGTTTGGTGATATGACTATTCGTTGTCTTTCATGTAAGGAGAATCTGTTATGTAGGATCTAAAACCTTTGGATTTATTCAGTGCTGTCACTGGCTCCTTTTGAAATATGAACACATCTGTGTAAGTGTGTATTTCACAATGTAGTATCATGTGCTGTTTATTTCTTTGCACAATGCTTTAATTAACAAACCTTTTGAGAGGATTTCAAAGAGTGAAAAAAAAATATATACTTACTATACTAGCCTTGCTTACTAATATGAAGGGTTTCATTTTCCCCAGTGCTATTTGAGATAAGAGTTCCAAGCATTTATTGAGTTTGAAATAATCTAATTAATACACTTTGGAAGATACCACAAATACACTTGATTTCTGTGTTTGGCTTTCATCCTCCTGTAGAATGTAGGTTCTATAGATCAGGGGTACATTAGCCCAATATGCATTAAGCTTTTGTAGTTACATTTTATTTTGTTAAAGTGTTTTTAGCAAATTTGCCAGTCTTGTATAATTCTATTTCTTAATGCTAGAAGAAAAGAGATTTCCCTCATAGGAAACATTGTTTGGAGACTTGGTCATCTCCGACACATACAGAATGAGATTTACTAAGAACCATACAGTGATATTAATTCACTAATTCGACTTTTCATTCGACTATCATTAAGTGTTTTTTGTCTTTTTTACATGTTTGAAGTTACTTCAATTTTTCACACTTTAGCAGTAGTTGTGTTTGTGATTTCAGATACCATTACAATATTTTGCTGGTTTAAAAATTTGTACACTGCAATGTATCTTTCAACAGATCAAACCACATTTTCCAAGTGTTAGAAGAATGCCACTTGCCCCCTTACAACTGATTTGTTTAGGGAACTGCCTTTTACAGGTGTAAAATCTTTTAAAAAGTTTTTTTTAAAGTAAGAACGTTCCGAAAATATTTCACTAATTCACACTGTGCCCTGTAACCATGAGCTGGTTGTCCACAAATGTTCTTTGCTCAAATTGATTTCCTGAATGATATGCTGCCTTTTTAAATACATATGATTTAGATGATTTGTGTGCATTTAATACTAATAGCAATTTGAAAAGAAAGAATTGTTGTTTTTTTTGTTTTATGACCTGTAATCTCTTAATTTAGATATATTTGCAGGTTTACCTGTTAGGGAGCTAGAATGTGAGGAATTTATGAATTGGCCTGAAATAATTAATTTCATTTCACAAAGCTTTACATTCAAAATGTAATTTTTCCCAAACTGAAGATTCTGTGCACTTAATTCTATGTTTTTCATAGTTTGGTATACTCTGATTAGATTGTACTTTAGACACTGCTTTGAACAAAACCATTAAGTTGGCTACTGCAGTAGTTGTATACTGCATTC